GATGATGATTATAACTATGATTATGATGACTATGTTGATGATGAATCCATGTGGGGGGACGAGGAGTGGACTGAAGAGCAGCATGAGAAATTGGAAGATTTTGTTCATATAGATGCACACGTCTTGTGCACTCCAGTAAGTATTGTTATGAACGGAATTATATTGCCTGCTTATGGTTAATTGGAACTACAGATTTAATTTCTTGGGTTGAATGAAATTCACTTCAGGTAATAGCAGACATTGATAAAGATGGAGTCTTTGAGATGATTGTTGCTGTTTCTTACTTCTTTGATCGCGAGTAAGTTTATTCTACTAGCAATTGAATACATTTTTCTGTGCCTAGTTAATAACTGTTCCTGATATAGTGTAAGCTGCAGAATATGTGGTGTGAACCTCTCTACAGAAATCACATGCTGCTAATAAGAGCATGGGTGTGCTTTTTAATGCATGTTTCATATATTATGCAGTATAAGATTTAGGGTGTGATTGGATATGGATTTGATTTTGTTTCGATTGCAGTTAATTTTGGAAAAGTGTTTGGGTTAGGTTTGAGTGGGATTTTGAACTTGTGTCGAAATAGTAGTTAAACTAAAATGATTAAAGTTGATGTGATGTAAAAGTAGGAGAAAAATTATTGGAAGTGATAGATAGTTAAAATTATACGAGTGGATGAATAGTAAATTGAAGTTGATGTGATGTGCAAGGATGATTGATTGATATTATTTAATTTATATTGATAATATTAAGTATAGTGGGATTGCGTTAAAAAAAAAGTGATTGGGTTAAAAATGATTGAAAAAACGTGTTTGTATTTCTGATCAATTTGTAGTTTGGCAGGTATTATGACAATCCAGAGCATATGAAGGAACTCGGTGGTATCGATATTGGAAAATATGTTGCTGGGGGTATTGTTGTCTTTAACCTCGAGACAAAGCAGGTGAAGTGGAGTGTTCAGCTGGACCTGAGTACTGATAATTCGGATTTTCGTGCCTATATATACTCTTCTCCTACCGTTGTGGATTTGGACGGTGATGGGAATTTGGACATTCTTGTCGGCACTTCTTTTGGCTTGTTTTACGTTTTGGACCACATAGGTGTGTTCTCGTAATAATACAATTTTAAGAGCTTATGTGTGTCTTTTTATGTGTTTGCTCAGAATTAGCAATATATTGTGTCTAAAATAAAATGTGACTGGGTGTGAGAGTTTCTACTTCCATTTTTTTCCCTATTTCTGAAAAAAAAAAAAAAAAAAANNAAAAAAAAAAAAAAAAAACTTCTCTTGCGGTGTTCGCTAAGAAATTTATTGCATTAAATTACTCAGGCAAAATTCGAGAGAAATTTCCTCTCGAGATGGCTGAAATCCAAGGAGCAGTAGTTGCAGCTGATATAAATGATGACGGTAAAATCGAATTAGTAACTACTGATTCACACGGTAATGTTGCTGCGTGGACCCCACAAGGAAAAGAAATTTGGGAAACACATGTAAAGAGTCTTGTTCCTCAGGTAAATAATAATTTATATTATATACTCGACAAAATTTAATATTATGCAGTGTTTGTAAAATTACCGATTTACCCCTCAGGGTCCCAGCATTGGGGATGTCGATGGTGATGGCCACACTGATGTTGTCGTGCCAACTGTTTCGGGAAATATATACGTTCTTAGTGGCAAGGATGGGTCGATCGTGCGGCCCTATCCATACAGAACTCACGGTAGAGTAATGAATCAAGTTCTTTTAGTTGACTTGAAAAAACGTGGGGAGAAACAAAAGGGACTTACTATAGTTACTACATCGTTCGACGGGTATTTGTACCTCATAGACGGGCCCACTTCCTGTGCTGATGTCGTGGATATTGGAGAAACATCGTAAGAGATAATTTAAGATCCCTCATTTTTTAATTTTTTTTTGGGTTTCACTTATTGGTCGTTACATTAACTAAGGCTATGTTTGGTAAACATAGCTGAATTTCGAGTTTATAGCCGATAGCTTATGACTTATGGCTGAAAAGTTAGCTTTTATGATAAATGTATTTGGTAAAATTAGTTGAAATAAAAATTTCAATGGGCTTATTTGAAAAGATACCCAAGGAAGCTTGTGAGATAAGCTCGAGTCTTTTAATAAAGATTCGTCCTACCAAACCAAGCTTTTTTGAATTCAAGAAGCTTATAAGCTATAAGCTAATCAGTTAAGCTATACGCTAGCTTATATGATTACCAGACACAGCCTAAGACCACTCCTTATTCAACAAAATAAATAATTCGATAAATAAAATGCTTTTTTTTTTATGTGGTCCAAACTTTCGATGGCACAGATATAGCATGGTTTTGGCCGACAATGTAGATGGTGGGGATGATCTAGATCTTATAGTCACGACTATGAACGGCAATGTCTTTTGTTTCTCTACTCCTTCGCCACATCATCCTCTGAAGGTACGGTACCATTATTTACTTGATGCTTTTCTCATTTATATTACCTAACCCGCCAATTTTTTATTATTATTACTTTATTTTTTTGATTTTCTCTAACAAATATTGCAAATCCAGACATGGAAGTCACCTAATCAAGGGAGGAATAATCCGGCAAACCGATATAATCGTCAGGGTATTTTCGTCACTCCATCATCACGTACATTTCGAGACGAAGAAGGAAAGAACTTTTGGATTGAAGTTGAGATTGTGGACAGATACCGATACCCATCTGGCTCCCAATCACCTTATAATGTCACGGTATTTCAAAATTTTCAAATTTTCCATCTTTTTTTCAAGATTAACCACAAAAGGATATCCGTATTTTATTTGATTTATTTTTCATAATTTTCTCGAATGCTTCCTAATAAAACATAGGTGAGTTTGTTGGTTCCGGGTAATTACCAAGGAGACCGAACAATCAAGCAGACTCAAATCATTGATCGGCCGGGAAAACATCGGATTAAACTCCCGACCGTAAAAGTGAGGACAACCGGGACTGTAATTGTGGAGATGTTCGACAAAAACGGGATATATTTTTCGGATGATTTCTCCCTCACTTTTCACATGTATTACTACAAGCTTTTGAAATGGCTCGTTGTTCTCCCGATGCTGGGTATGTTTGGAATTCTTGTCATTTTGCGGCCTCAAGAAGGCATGCCCTTGCCTTCGTTCTCACGCAATACCGACTTGTGATTTTTCGAGCCGATAAGTGATAATCCGACTGCATTTCGAAAGAAGTTACGAGTTTTGCCTCTTGACAAGATTATACCGGACAAGGCATATAAAGTACCACCTTCGTAACTTTTTTTTTTTTCTTCTTGTTGCAAAAGCTCGATTTTGATGTGACGAAACGTGGGTTTGAGTTCGAACATGTAGGCCAGTGTTGCGATTTTCTGCACTTCAGTTCATGAATAGTCGAATCTTGTCGATCTTTGCTAGGCATTATTATACAGAAAAAATCTGACTGCACATACTCGGCTAATTTGATTTTCGATTCTACTCTGTGTGGACACTTTTTCATTAGTGAATCATATATATGCTTTCACATCCATTTATGAGCTAATTTGATGACATAATTTGATCATCATACACATTCACATCCATTCATGAGCAAATTTGACTGCACGTGTACTCAGATAGTTCAATTCTACTCGTGTGGACACTTTTTTCACTATTGAATCATATGCTTTCACTTCCATTTATGAGCTAGTTTGACTGCACATACACATACACAGCTAATTCGATCCTACTCGAGTGGACACTTTTTTTCACTATTGCATCACACACTTTCACATCAATTTATGAGCTAATTCGATTCTATTAGTTTGGATACTATCATACGAGATTTTCCGCTTTTGGGTCACATGCAATGATCTTATTCTTTTTTAACCATTGAATCACACATATTTACATCTATTTATGTGTAAGTCCAACAGTAAAACTCACACATTCATACGAATGTGTGTAAATCCAACTGTAAATAAAATTCACACGCACACTATCCATAGTAGAATGAAATTCACTGCATGCACACACAAAATCCCAACTTTTTCTTTGTACTTAAAGTTGTATTAATGCTTTTTAGTTTTTATAGGCATTTATCACTTTTTGTAGTTGCCTTTTTGCTATTAATGCTTTTTAATTTTTTTTAGGGGGTGATTGTTTATGAAATACTTTGTTCAAAATGAATTATTTTGGTTAACCATAGTTAATTTTGAAAAAGGTTGTATGTTTAGTTGTTAGTGGAATTTTAAGAATGTATTATAATAGTATTTAAATAAAATGATTAAAATTGATTTGATGGAAAAGTATGAGATAAATTATTAGAAATGATTGGTAGCTAAAATTATGTGAGTGGATGAATAGTGAATTAAAGTTGATGTGATGTGTAAGAATATTGGTTTGTATTATTTAATTATATGAATAATATTGAAAATAGTGGTGTTGAGTTAAAGTTGAGTTAGATTTTGAGTATGAAATAAATGGAAATGAAATAATTCATAAACAATCAAGTCCTTAGGCCTTTGAAAGTAGTTTGGGCTTTGAAAGTAGTTGTCCTTGAGTGTTTAATGGCATACAAGTAAACTAATAAAAGAAAGGTACACTTTTTATGTGAACTATTATAGTCTATAGTACACTATTGAGTCTATAAATTATACAAATTCAACACACACACACACACAATACAAGGAAAAACTGTGTGGCAATGTGTGAGATATAACAACACATGGGTATAAATGTATCACTTTCCCTAGTCTGCCTCTTATAGCATCTCCAATGTTATAGCTTTGAAAGAGAATGATTTTTAACACATGTCAATCAATAATTGTAATGTTAATCCATGTAGGAATAATGTTAAAAGAGTAGATATTTGAATCAAACTAGCATCTCCAATGCATCAATTTGATAAATAGTTATTTGTATAGGTGGACCAATTAAAATAATCATTAATACAAGAACAATAAAAAATTAAATCAAATATAAAGTGAATTGATTAGTCATCATGTTTAACATGGTGTTAGATATTAGAAAGTGTGCTCAACATTGTCAACATTAAATGCTATCCATCTCATCATGAAAGAGTTCATAACAAGATGCATTGGAGAATAAATTAATACCTCACTTTCAAAAGTTGATGATATGAATGAATTTTTATAATGTCAAAAGCCACATTGGAGATGCTCTTAACTTTATATACTTTTAGTCTTTTTTACCATTCTCAAACCAACATTTACCCCATATGAAAAAAGGTAATTCACTGTACATCTAAAGGATTCTTTCTCCAGTAGCATAAAGATTCCAAAAGACAGTTGTTGCAAAATACAGACAAGCTGTGAGAGTTAAGAATGCCTGAAAGGAACCTAGCCACTGCACAAAGAAACCAGTCCCAATTGTACTTATTATTGCTGCTAGTGTTCCAACTGAATTAGAAATACCTGAAAAAAAAAATAAAAAAATAAAAATAAAAATTATATCCCAAAAGCACGAAACGAGAAAACGAGGCATTTCTGAGTCGGGTTTTTACAAAAGCATTACCTTGAAGAAGTCCTGCGCATTGCGGCGCAATGTCCTGGTGAAAACGATCCAAACGAGCAAAAAGTTTTAAATTTTCAATAGCGTAAAATAGGTACACGAATGAACGAAACTCAAAACTGCAGAAAAACAACTTACGTGCATATTAAGCAAAAAACCGGCTTGACTGAACGAGCTCAAACTCAGGGCTAGAGTTAAAAACACGGATGCAATCTTTGGCGTATTTGCATAATTCAAACAGATCAAAGCAATTCCAGGCCCCATAAAACCTATCGACTGTCAAAAAGCAGGTCTTCAAATGTGTTAGTGTATACATTTTTGCTTGTTTTCGGTTAGTTTATACAAAAATCGTAATTGATTCGTTTACCTGCATGATTTTCCTTGCCAATGTTACAGAACAGCCCGATTTAATCAAGTAATCTGACGTGGACCCGGCAATATAGCCCGAGATAGCCATTGTTCCCCAAGGAACTGCACTAAACCAAGCTGCTTGCTTCAAGTTTACATCAAACACCTAAAAAATTAAAACCAACTCTTACAAATTCTTTCAGCGAATACTAAAAAAATTTCGAACGATCGACAAAAAATAACCGAAAAAAAAGATACTCACGGTTTTGAAATAAACAGGCATCCATGACAGAAGAACAAAGTACCCCTGCATTTTAAACAGAATACTGAAATTTTTAGCGAAATTTTGCCAACCGAACATTTATGATAACCGAAAAATGGAAAAAAAAAAGGAAAATTGGAAAACGAAAAACCGACCCAATTATTGGTAAAGTTAGCAAAGATAATAGCCCAAGTAGGCCGTTTCGAAAGAAGCTCGAGCAGTGAAAACTTGCCCTGGCCCACATTATACGAGCCCGATTTGCCATCTTGGATCAATTGTGGCTCGTTTGTGACCCTACGTGTCCATGTAACGAGCCAAATAATTCCGAGCGATGTAAAGAGAACAAAAGGACCTGAAATCCCGATCGATTTCGACATCATAAGTGGAGTCGAGACCAAACCGACAACATTCCCGAGCTGAAATCCTCCCATCGATATCCCGACAGCTGTCGCTCTCTCATTGGTCGGAAACCATCTGATAATATTTGCACCATTTCAAAACATACTTTTTCTAAAATGGATAATCACATTTTTTTTTTAACCTTGATAAGAGATTGTTCATTGAAGGTAAAGCTACGCCTTCGGCAAATCCGAAAAGAGCACGAACGGCAAAAAGGCTAGCTGCCGAGTGATTTGCGGCCATTGGAGTTAAGAGTGTGGCTAAAGACCAAAAAGTCGCGCCCCAAGCAATGACTTGTTTGCCTCCGTATTTATCGACCAAAGCACCTCCGATAATCGAGGAACACATGTATCCCCATAGAAAGGATGACTAGCAAGACAAATCGGCAAAAAAAAAAAAAAATGTACTCGTTTTATTATCATCGATAATCATGTGAAGAACTACGGTACGAACAATGTATATGGTTTTGTTAAGCTCCCGATTCAACAACCAATCGGCAAATGCACGCATTTCTCGACTACTTTCCAACATATAGTATTTTTCTAGGTTAAATGTAATCTGAACTTCATAAACATTCATCATTTGCAACTTCTCATACATTTTGACCATACACGTGACAATTTTTTTTTGAATAATTGTATGGTCAAGATGTAGGACAGATTACACACGACGAATGATCGTAAAATTTAGCTGCATTTTACTAAGAAAAGAAAACTATAAGTTGCAAAGTAACAAAATACATATCAATTGTAGATAATGTTTTACCATAAAAGAATAAAAGAAAGGAAGCTTTAGAAATAAATGATGGCCACCAAATCTATTATTCTTGACACTCAATTTAGAAACAAAACGTTGTGTTATCAGTTAAATGATGATGAGTCACGGTCTAAAGTCAAATATAGGAATTTAGTTAAGACTATATTGTCAGTGTATAAGCAAAACTACCACCAAAAATCACTTCTCAACTACCACAAAAATTGAGTTCTCATAAAAACACACAAACAAATCACCATTTGCCACTCTTAAGTTACAACCAAGTCATCGTAATATTAAATTAAAAAGAGTCTTATCTATTTGGTCTGAAAGATGAGGTGGCAATTCAATTCTAAACCTAAAAGATAAGATCTACCGAATTTCAGATTCAAAAGATAGTCAATTATTAAATTTGGCATGAAAGACTAAATCTATAAGGGACCAGTATTGTTTACAACTATTAATTTAATACTCCAAACATGGTTTTTAGGAAAATAAATAAAAATATTTTAATATAAAGAAAAACTAAATAAAGAGATGAAATTTGAAAATATAACATATATATATATGCCACATCAGTTATTAAAAAATATATAAATTTATAAATATTAAACATCCGAGTAGAAAATAAAAATAAAAAATATAACAGAGATAAAAAAACATAAATGAATGCCCGATCACGCTTACAAATAAAAACAAGATCGGAGCATAAATTTAGTAATGTACTTCCAATTTTTGTTTTAAATTTTGATTTAAATGCGTTTTGTTTTTTATTTATCTTTTCTTATGATACATCACCTATCAAGCATAACGCCGCCAATCTTTAAATCTAATCTTTGGAATTTTAAGTTATGAATTTCATATCATTAGATTTTATCGTTTAAATCTCGAATTGATAGTTCAGTAGTATAGATCTCGAATTGACAGTTGAGTATTAGAGATAGACACTAAAGTATTTAAATGTAAGTTAGTCGATAGATTATGTCTTTTTAATAAGTTCATCTTTTAGCATACAAACTAAAGTCTTAATGTAAGGTAGTCGATATTTTGGACATGAATCAATAAAATTTAACTTTTTAAATTTATCAAATTGACAAAACTCTTCGAATCAATGATAAANAACATTCAACAAAATCAATACAAAATCTTCCAGCATTTTATTTATTTATTTATTTATTTTATTTCGTTTTTTCCAGTTACCTGAACAATGCCCAAGAAAGAACTTGACCAGCCATACTTGGCCGCCAGCGGAACCACGGCCACCGACATCACAACCCTATCCGCATTACACAGGCACATCACCGCCGCCACCAGCGCCGCCACCTCGTACCTCCCCGCCGCCGCAGCAGCAAACCCGCTTTCCCGCCCTCCAACAAACTGCCCCTCCGCCGTGCACCTCGCCGGAAAAGCGCCCCTCCACCGCCGCCTCCCGTCGCCGGCGAGCCCAGCGCCGTCCCTCCTGTTTTCTCCGATGGCCGCGAGCCTTTTCGATTTGGGCCGCGGCCCGGAAAATGTGTTGGATGGTTTTGGAATTGTAAGTGGGCCCAGATGGGAAATGGGCCGCCGTGAAGGACTTGGGCCGTGACCGCAGCGTGGCTGTAGCGGAAATGGCGTGGCGCAAGTCATTTTAGAGAGAGAGAGAGAGAGCCGAGAGGGGTGGCTTTGGATTGTGCAAACGAATTTGAATACGCAAAATGGCGTGGCGCAAGTAGAGAGAGAGAGAGAGAGAGAGAGAGAGGTGGCTTTTGATTGTGCAAACGAACTTTCTTTTTCCCAAATATGCATACGAAAACTTGAATACGTTAATAGTAAATTTGGTGCAATTTATTATAAAAGTATGCTACAAGAAATGAAATGTGTGGTCCGTGTGGATATGTGTTTGCTAATAGTTTTATGGGTAAAATATTTTTCACAATCTTGGACTATATATATTAGTGTCAATAAAAAAAATTGTCACTAATAACTTGCAATTCCACAATTTTGTGACATGAGAAAATATTGTCACTATGTGATTATATTTATGATATTAATGTCGTCACTAAAATTAACGTCACTAAAAATAATTATTCTTGTAGTGCGTAGTGATGCATTTTCAACTAATATCTATAGTTTCTTAAAAAAATAATCACATAAACAATAATATGAGGTTTAATAACATAATAATCCCAAGTATTTGTGTTAGCCTTAATACACTCCCCTCCAAATTCAGATTGTCATTGTTCTTTCAACATCAGTTTACTTTTTTTCACAAAAAATAAAGTATCACAACTTACAAAATTATTTATTTGATATAGATTGACAAAATGGTGAAATAACTCTATTTTATCTCATTAAGCTAGTTGGTGAGGAATGTGGATAACATACAACTGTACAAGCCCCATCTGATTTTCCGTATATAATTATAATTTGTAGTCCCAAAAGAAAAAGAAAGAAATAAAAATAATAATAATAATGATATNTGTCTTTTCCATCATCATTTTCCCTCAAGCAGCATGATTTCGAACAGGGGAAAAATATTATTATCAATGGAGTGTGAATGACAAAATTCAAATTAGTAATTTTCCGACAAAATGGAAGCTAGCTAATTTCTCTTCATAATATTCATGAGCAAGAGTTGAATTAACAATATTGCCATTTGTTAATTTAATTGTTTGCATGTCTTAATGTTCTGATGGTGGGTAAATGGTTTATCTTTTTAGTGTTAAAATTTTCCATTCTTTTCATCATATGCACTTTACTTGTATCTTATTTGAATTCTAAGTTATGATTAAAATCTTGCAAAATTGAAACTAATAAGGTTCCAAAATATTGACTTGCACTCCAAGCGCTTGACTTATGTGGAAAAGCCAATGCGTTAAGAATTATCGGGTCAACCAGTTGATGAATTAACGTAAAAGCTCAATTACTATTTTACTTTTTTTTTTAATTAAATAACCGCATACAAACTAATTAAAGATAGAAGATAACTAAATAGGAAGAGAGTCCTTCCAATAATAAGAAGAATGTGATGAGATCGCCCAATAAGTTAAATTATGGGCTACCACGTTGTCCTTCCAAGAGACATGGCAACAAGAGCTGCAATCTAAAGCCGTTAAATGACCTTTAATATCCATAAACACCTCAAAGAGAGGGTCCAAATCTTCCGAGTTCATAATACCGCCAACAACTTCCAAGGAGTCTGTGGTGTCTTGACTTTTCTCTGTTAGCTAATTCTCTTCAAGGCTATAATTTGGGCCTCATTCCTATCTGCACCCTTTGACCCATTTAAATTTGGGCTTTTAATATGGACCCATTTAAAGAAAAGGAACTAGAGTATGGATTTAGACGGGCCGGATCGGGTGCGGTTTTGGCAAATACGGACCCGACCCGCATCTATTTTTCCCTACACGAATCGTATCCGTTATTTGGTTATTGGCTTTTGGGTTCGGGTCAGATTTTGCCCCGGCTGGTAGTCGGGTGCTCATTGGGGAAATGAGTAACCTAGATTTTTAAAATTAAGTTTTAGCTGACCCATAATATTTTTTTTAAAGGCAATGCTCTATATAAATTTTTAATAATAAATATTGAAAATTGAAAATATGAGACTTTACTTAAGAATGTAATGGTATAAGTATACTATTACAAAATAAGTATCACAGGTTTAATTTTCACTAACATATTATATATGTAATAATTTTTTTTTCCCCTCAATTCTTAGTTTAGACAAAAAGAAGTATATTTAGTCACATTATTTTTAGTATTTTAAACTCTTTTTAAATTGTATATTTAATATTTTCTATTCATATATTATACTAATTTAAGATTATTTTTCTTATTCATATTGCATTTTGCATGAATTTTAAATTATTGGTGTTAGTTTACGATACTTATAATTAATCTAGTATATAATACACAAGTTATAATAAAAATATATTTTCTTAAATAACATATGTCATGACTAGTTTTCATAACAAGCATATAATACACACACAAATGCAGGTAACCCGAACATACGGATTTTATGAACGTGCCTAAATAAAAGTGTCATCCCAATTAGCAATTCCCATTTTGGAGAATTTGACAAAATATTGTTGGTGTAATAATTGATCACACACCATCCACAGTCAACATTAAGATGTATTCGACATCGTTTATATATGATATGCAGATCCCATGTTATATTAGAGTGATACTATTATTAGTATTTGCGATTAGCAGAGCCAGTTTTTGGGAGCAGGGTGAGCAACTGCACAGGGCCCCCAATTAATTGGGGCCCCATATATAAATATTAAAATATTATATATATATATAATAATATAAATAAAAAATATAATAATATATTAAATGACATTCATGTTAGAACATTAATCTTGTTTTTGTTGTATTTTGTGGGTACAAAGACATCTTGTTTTAGTTGTATCGTTAAATATTTGTATTTTATTAATAAAATATTAAAAATATATTATTCAATATTGTAATTAGGGGGCCTAATTTTATTTTTCGCTCTGGGCCCAAAAAATGTTGGAGACGGCCCTGGCGATTAGTATATTACAATAACTGTTGTAATAACATAGATTGTAATTAGTCGGTAACACATCTTCAATAAACCTGGATGTGCTCATAGTTACACTTTGAAAATAATATATATAAATAAGAAAATGACATTCCACGTTAACTATACATCAGTATACATTTATGCATTTATGTATAACTTAATTGATTGATCAATAGGTATCTTTACACAAATATTGATGTTGAGCCGAATCACCAGTTAATCACATTTTCTCATGCAAAAATACATATATATACTATTAAAAAATTATATGTTTTCTTATATTGATATTTAAGACATTCACTTAGTCCCTTGATTCTAAAACCTCAAAGACATTCATAACTGATGGGTGTCGAATCCAACAATAATAAAATTATGCTTCTAAAATAACTGTAGTAGTGGTAAGCAGAGTCGTATCCACATGGATTGACTAGACAGAGTATTGATGCAACTATTCGTGGAAGAAATAAAAATAAAAATAATGGGGGTTTGATGATTTTATCTAACTACGAAAACGAAAATAAAATAAAATCTAACTAGAGACGAAAAGAGAGTGATTCAAAATAGGGAAAATATACAACTAAAGGAAAAACTCGTAGAAATGGTTCAACAATTCATGGATGCAAAGATAATTCTCCTACTCTCGATTAAACTGGTTATGGTTATTGGTACGACCTAACAACCTATCCGTCCTTACTTGTTCGATAATCAGGATACGATCTCTAATTATTTCTCTAATCAATAGACAACCCTAGATACGATCATAGGATTTAATCCATCAACAACAATAAGATCTAGAAGGACCACAAATTCTAGCCAACAAACGTACATGTAGGATCATTTAGACTAGATCATATATCTCCCTAAGTATACAATTGAAAACCCTTAGTAGTCAACTATGCTATTTGCCACCAATATTAGAACGATCAGACAATTACGGATTTAACCGTCCTAAATAATAGTATGCGTTTAAACAATCGAACAAATGGCCAATTTGCATCAACAATCAAAATACAATTGATAATAATCATAAGAGATATATAAATAAAAGAGAAGTAAGGAATATATATAAATTCAATTATATCTCACAAATCATGAAGAACCAAATCTAGAATAATCTTTTGGCTGAAAAAATAAATTAATTCTCCATAAACATGGGAGAAGCCTCCCAATTATTCATGAAAAATAAAAGAAAAAAATAAAAGAAAAGAAAAGAGAAGAAGAGAGGATGTCGTGTGCGTGAGGGAGAAGAGGAAAATTAAAAGATCTAGCATTTAATTAACCAGTCTAATCCTAATCTTAGCAGAAAGTACGTAGAAAATAAAGAGATCATTCTCTCTACAAAATATCCTAATAAAATATAATAATCCAAAAATAAAGACTCCTAAAAGGTTTTATTATTTCTCTTTCCAACTCAAGACTCCTTCTTCCATCTCTCGTCGTGCCCACGCCTTAACATAAATTCGTTTCTTTCGCCCACCAATCATCATAAAATTCTAAATTCCGAGATATCCTACAAAAAATATAAAAATCAATTAAAACAATAATTAAGCTCATACAAACACCGAAAAAGTATGAAAAACATGGAAATTAACATGCCAATAATACGACTTATCAGTAACTAATAATGCTAGTCAAACATTAGCCTATTATATGATACACGCTTCATATAAAATCTCTTTTATTACACACTAGAGCATGAACACAAGGTGGGTTTTGTGTAATGATGAAAACAAGGTTGTAAATAGGCAATTTTGGGTCAAAATCAAGGCTTCTCTTTTAGGTGAGGAATTTCATTCAACATAAACTAACGTTCATTTATTAGACAAATTAAATAAGTGGGGCTGTAGAGTGTGGACCAAGGTAATTTTTTTTTTAAATTCCTTTCACCTTTTATTACTTACTTTTTTTTCTTACAATTATACATATTTTTATTAAAAAAATATCATCCTTTAATTTGAAAAGCAAAGTAAAAAGTATAAATTTTGATACTATAAATATTTTTGTTCACATAATAACGGATTGACCCGTCTAGAATTTTTTATTTTTTAATCCAAGAAGATTCATGGATATTATTAATAGAAATAACGGCTACAGATTAGAGGCACATAACAAGGGGAGAATTAACTTTGGGGTTCGAATATTTTGATTTATGATTATTGATAATAATTAATTACCACCTATAGTTAAGGCATCATTATTCGGCATAATTATCCCGGCGAAATTTGTGGAACCTAAGTGTGGCACGCCTATTGTAGATTTCCTGATTATTATTTTTTTTTCCCCCTTTTCACATTTGTTCAATATCAAAGATTAAACACTATATCATTTAATCTTATGAGGTAAAATGAAATGAACAAAAAATTCAAAACATTTACTATGGAGCTATATGTACCATATCAAATAGACAGTCCAATAATAATCACATTAATATGTATAATATATAATTAATTAGGAAATGTAAATGAGGTCTATAGCTAATTAAGCATCAATACAATTCTTTGTTTCAATTTTGTATTCCACGTCGTGTCGACTGTCGTGTTTAAGCATGAGAATCCAAAAAGGTCATCTGGAAAGATATTGCATATCAATACTAAAGATGGATTTTGAATTTTTTAAGGCTATTTTGGGCCAACTCATGCATGCCTAAGTCCTCTGCTATGTCTTATAGCATGCAAATATAGTTTTTTATATTTGTATTTATTTATTTTTTTAATACCTGAAGAATTCTTTTGCTAGATTTCGTTTTCACACCAGTTTAATTGCTCACGATCAATTTTCATTTATAATCAGAAAAAAGTAAAACCCGAAAAAAAATCTTGAATCTTGAATTCGTGCCATACCGAACAAATAGTGGAACTCACGTGTGTGTACGTGTTTTATTTCATTTGACAAATATGTAGTAAATTATTTTTCGGATAGAAAGACTTTATCCTCATGTGTGTGGATTCTAGAATTTAGGTTTAATTATTGAAATAACACTTTTGATGTTTGACTTGAAGTCTTAAATTACATAAGAGCTAGATTTAGCTTTCAAAAAATATTATATAAGCAAAATTACAATGTTTCATAATATAAGTGCATTTGATTAAAAAATACGATTCATACACACACCTAATGGTTAAATCTGTTCCCACAAATAATTTTTGGGAATTAAGTTAAATGGATTATTTCATATCTCAAGCTTATAAATTTGAGCAATATACAATGGTGAAGATTCTAGGTTCATATCAAAAGATGGAGGATCTCCAATTTTTAGACCTTTTTGTACAAAGCATGCATGATTTAAATTAAAACCATGTGGGCATACAAAAAATAGGCCCCAAGAAAAATGTTTTCTTAGATCACATCGTTTTCAATTCTATTCTTTTACCCCAGCACTTCCACCACGAATTTTTATTATAGTTCAAAATTATATCATTTTCACCTTTTTTAGTTAAAAAAATAATAATTTATGCAATATCAAGCAATGTTTTTTGTCAAGTCACATTAAGTGATAGATGACTCTATAAGAAAACTATTCGATAACTCTATAGAATTTTTGTAGATAGTTTTACTTTTTTCAACGAATATGTTTATTTGTAAGTTCAAATGTAAACAAAAACATAGGTAACATTTTATAGTAATAGACATTTCTGTTAAACAAGTATGATCAGTTAACCTCACATGTTTAAAACACCTTAATAATCATGTGGAAAAATGAAAGAAAAAAACAAAAAGAAAAATAAGTTAATATTGAAATTTGTTTCTCAAAAACATGGTTCATTATTAATTTCGTTGGTCCACGCGTTATAAGAGACCGAAAAGAGGAGTAATAAATTACCAAATTTATAACAAAAATTACCTGTTTAATGAGGCAATAAATAAATGACTATTATTTGTAGCCAATAAGTAAATTATTATAAATAATTAAATATAGAACGTTGATAAAAATATGTCATATCATAATCCAAGCCAAAAGTCCAAATTTCAGTTTCCAAAATTGACATTAGTATTTGCAATTGCAGTGGTGTTGGGGAAAGGGAAAGTAAAAAATAAAGAAGACGAGAAAAACACCAAATATAATGGAGCTTGTGTTTTAGAGAGGCATATAAACGAGCCGAGTTGAGCTCGTTTATCACTATTAACGTGCCTAGTTCTAGTTAAATGAGTCGATTTTTAGCTTCAACTAGTCGAACTATAGAAAATTATATAAAAATTCTTTTTTCTAGAGAATGTTTGTGAATAAATTTTTTCAATACATACTCAATTCATACTCAAAATTTAACTCAATTTGAACATAACCTCATCCACAGTAATATTAAAAAAAAAATACTATCATTCGATCATTCTTACATATAAAATCAACTTTAATTCAATATTCATTGACTCTGTACGATTTTAACTAACTATCACTTCATATTACATTTACATAAGATAAACTTTAATTATTTTATTTTAAATATTATTTTAATATCAACTCAAAATTTCACTAACAACTAATTATACCACATTTTTTAAAATTAAACTCAATTAACCAATAAAACATGTTTTGAATGGATATATTTGTATGCCCTAAATTATTATTATTATTATTATTATTATTATTATTATTATTATTATTATTATTATTATATTTATAAGATTTTAAGGTAGTTTGACTATACAATTAAAACTGATTAGCTATTTTTTTAAAAGAAAATTGTTTATGAGATACAAAATAATGAAAAAATATTTATTTTAGAATAAAGAGTTTGAAGAAAAAAATTTGCAATGAAATTTTAGATACTTATGTAATTTTTATGTAATATTTAGTGCGAATTTATGATTGGTTAATCTATGGTTATTAATTGTTATAGAAACAATAGTAAAAAAATATGATTAAACTTAATCAAAATAATTGTAATAGTTAATCTATAGTTATTAATTGTTATAGAATACAATAGTAAAAAAATATGATTAAACTTAATCAAAATAATTGTAACAGTTTTCTATCATAATTAGTTAAAAAAAATGAGCAATAAACTTTTTATCTTTTACAATAAATGAAGAGTCTCTATATATTTAACACCTGTGCATCCAAAACAAGTAATAAAATCCCAACACAACACTAAATACCAATACTATCCACTTTTTACTAGATAACGTTTGTTTTCCTAGTTTTTTTATTTGAAAATATAGAATCTATCAATAAAACACATATTTACAAGCGGCTAATTAATATATTGAAATAATTATTCAGTTGAATTCATAGAGAGACCTACACGACACATATTTACAAGCGGTTAACTAGTATACTGAAATAATAATTCAGCTGAATTCATAGAGAGACCTACACGACTAGAACGGCCGTAGTTTGAAATCAACTAAACTTAATACACCCACAAAATACTGTAGTAGTAAACTACGCTCCCACAAGTAACGAATCTTAACCTTAATAATGGAGAATAAAACATAAAACAAAATACAAAAACACATTAAACAAAAAACAATAAAACACCTTGCAAGCTGCTCCGCAACAACACCAACGAGACCGACATCTAAAGATTTTCACCCACAGACAGAACCCCAGCCTAAATCGCATATCTAGAAACATTAGCACACCTACAGCTAACTGGGTCTGGAAAACTCGAGTCAATATCCTCTCCTAGACGGAAAACCTCCAAACAAAAGGCGAGCAACCAACGGAACAGCGAAACAGCCAACAACCCCCGGATCGAGAAACTCCCCCTACGGCTAACTCGACTCGGACCAACAGACCAAAACCCAACCCAATATCGCCACCACGGGCAGCCCCAAGAGCCTAACAAACACAACCCTCCCCCACCACACAACTAGCAGATGCAGCCAAAAACTGCCTCTCTCGGAAGGCTCCTCAATCCCAGCGTCGGAGAAAGAAGGAAAATCGAGAGCATCGCCTAACCGAGAGACTGCCTAAGATGTCGGTCGATGGCGAGGAGGAGTGACCCCCACCGGAGAGGAGGGGCACGAACAAGGGTTTGCTTTTGATCTGATTTTAGGCTTTTAATAGATAATGTTGTATTTTGAATGAAAAATACATAATAAATGTACATACAGGTGTACATAACAATCAAATGGAGTGGAGTCCATTTGATTTTTTATTTTTAGTAGGATCCACTTAATGTGAGTGTTATGTACAACTATATGTACAATATTATGTACTTGTAGCCATTTTCATTTTGAATTAGTATTAATCTTTTTTAATTTGAATTTTCAGATAAATTTATTTTTATTTATAGAAGTAGGTAAAATTATATTTTTTACATATACATTTCATTATCAACTTTAAATATCACTCGTATACTGATACTAAATCCGACGATTAGGCAGAAAGGAACTTGAGAAGAAAAATATCCAAATGATATGGAAAAACTAACGACAAATGTATGAAAACCGTCGTCCTCTTCGAATGTGTGCGTGCAAGAAAAAATTAGAGAAAAATAAAAAATAAAAAAATAGAAAAACATCCAAAACAGATGACAAATTTATATAATAAAGTGAAAAATTTTGTTTTCAGACTCCTTTGCTTGCTTTGCCATCTTTATTTCCTATTCATCCTCTCTCTCTCTCTCCTCTGTTTTTACTCTCTTCAAATCACACATTAACTCACTTCTTTGAATTCTCCTTTTTTTTCTCTCTCTATCTCTCACACACACATTTCTACCGGAAAACCACCGCACCGCCGGCAATGGAACCGTCGCCTTGGTAGTTTTTTATAACATGAGCGGGTGGCGCACCGCACCTACCCACCTCCGACGGTTATGAATATCTCGTCCGCCGACCCAACAGCCCCGCCGCCCCAGCAGCCGCCGCAGCCGCAGCGGCCGTCCTCCAGCTGCGACCGCCACCCCGCCGAGCAGTTCACTGGCTTCTGCCCCTCCTGCCTCGTCGAGCGCCTCAGCACCCTTGACGCCTCCGCCATCAACCACTCCTCCTCCTCTTCCTCCCGCCGCCCCTCGTCCGCCGCCGCTTCCGCCCTCAAGTCCCTCTTCACCTCCACCTCCAGGGCCAGCAACCTCCCCGCCGTACCGCCGCAGAAACCCTCGAGGCCCGCCCCCTTCCTCCCCGAGCTCCGCCGCTCCAAGTCCTTCTCCGCCTCCAAAAACGAGGCCCTAGCCCTAGGTAGCCAGCCCCTCGAGCCCCACCGGAAATCCTGCGACGTTAGGGCTAAAAACACTCTCTCGTCCCTGTTTTCTCTCGACGACGGGAGCAATACCACCGCCTCAACTTCCAATTGGCCCATCCCAACCGCCGCCTCCTCTTCCTCCCACCAAAACCCCCAAATCAGCAGCTCAAAACCAATCGAATCTCACATAGCAAATAAACCCCTCTCCGAAGAAATTGAAATCGAAGAGGATTTCAAGGACCCGCCCGAAAATCTAGACGAAATTGCCCCCCCGCCAGACGATTACGCCGACAGGGATGACGAAATCAGGCCCGCCGCCGCCGCCGACGACGACGACCCGAATCCCCGACACCCAGTCGGAATTAACACGAACATCTCCGAAATCGTTGAAGAGAAGGTAATCATCTCTACCAATCCAAAACCCATGAAAAACCACATCGACCTCGCCGCCGCCCACGCCCACGCCCAGCCCAAAAAAACCTCCGCCGCTGGTGGCGGCGGCGGCGGTTTCTGGGCCGCTGCCTCCGTCTTCAGCAACAAATGGCGCAAATGGCGGCACAAACAAAAGTCCAAGAAACAGAACGCCCGCAAAACCCTCCCCCGCCATCTCCCTTTTAATCGGCTGGTTCCCCGCCATCACCATGAAACCCAATCCGAAATCGCAGATTACGGTTTTGGCCGGAGATCGGTCGACACAGATCCTAGATTCTCCCTCGACGCCCCACCACGATTCTCATTTGACGAGCCCCGACACTCGGTTGACGAGCCTCCTCGAGCCTCATGGGACGGCTACTACTTCGCCGGAAAAAATCTCCCCAAAATACCCCCAATGTTTCTCGATAACGGGCCTCGGCCCGATATGCATATGATCCCTCTCGAACAAACCTCGATTGATGATAATAACGTGGTGCTGCCAGGTGGCTCGACCCAGACTCGAGACTACTATCTCGATTCTTCTTCTAGAAGGCGAAACAGCCTCGACCGCTCCAGCTCCATCAGGAAAACCGCGGCTGCAGTCGTAGCCGAAATAGACGACCTCAAAATGGCTGCTGCTTCGTGTTCTTCTTCGACTTCCAATGCCAAAATCCTCCCCACGAACGCGGATTATTTTCATGGGGCGAAAGTTTTGGTCGATGATGATGACATCCCGGAGGGCATTTTGGGTATTTCGGAGAAAAAGGAGCCGGCGACAGCGAAAAAATCGAGAAAATGGGGTTGGAAGATATGGGATTTCTTGCATAAGAAGGGTAGCCATAATAAGAACGAACACGAACACGATAATCGGGTCGAAAGGTCGTTGTCTCACTCGTGGAGAAGGGAAGCGAATAATAATAATAATAATAGTAACGATAACGGGCTTAGCTCGAATATTTTACGGAGCAATAGTAGCGTGAGTTGGAGGCACGCGGGCCCAACGGGCCTGTTTGGGCCCGTGATTGCTAACGGGAGGCGGTCGAGTGTCGATGCATACGTGAATAATAATAATAATAACGGGAGGAGGAGCGATTTTGGTGGGGTGGATAAGAAAAGGAATAATAATAATAATAATAATAACGCGAGGTATTCACCGAGCAATTTGGATAACGGGCTTTTGAGATTTTATTTAACGCCTATGCGGGCTAACCGGAGAGGAGGGATGGGTCGGGTGAAGCCCGCGAACCCACATTTGGTCGGGAGGAGTGTGATGAGGATGTATTGAGATGATAGGCCCGGTTTTGGGGTTCGTTCGTCTAGTTTGTTTGTTTGTTTGTTTTTTTGTTCGATTTTGTTGTTTTCTCAATACATATTTGAATCTTTGATCAGAATATATACTGTTTAGGAGGGTTTTTGTTTTCTTTGCCAATGTCCGGATATAACAATTGTTGTTTATTGTGGTTCTTAATTTACTGTTTTCTGAAAGTTATTGTTTGCATTCTCTTTGTTGGGAGGCATTGTTTTTCAGAATTCAGCTTGTGCTAATCAGCGAGGAACAGTTTAAAGATCACTTCATTTGAGCTTATGAAGTTTATTGTTTGGTTTAGGTTAGTACTTATAGTAGTGTCCATAAAGAGCCAAATTTTGAAAATTAGTTAACTGAGGCTATATTTATTAGGAAAAGGCAAAATAAGAGGGAAAAAAATCTAGGGAAGCCTAAAGCCTAAAACATTTACAGAACAATAATTGTGTCCTGTTTTATCAACTGACTTGAGAAAAA